CTCACTTTTCTCTCTCCTTATAAATGTATTGGAGTATTATTTTAAGATTAAGTGGGACCAATAAGGGTAAAAGAGGAATTGTACCTTTAAATACCTACCATATAAGGAAATGTGACATTCTTTTTGGGACTGACCAAAAAGGAAATGGTGCCACATAAAATGGGACGGAGGGAGTAGTAATTAATAATTTACCAATAAATTTTATCACAGTTGGTAATAGTTACTATTCAACTAAACATTCATATGTAATATTACCAACTAATAATTAATATGTTGGCTAATTTTACCAATGGATTAATGATCGGTTGGTATATTACCAACTATTTTAATGATGTTAGTAATTTACTAACTACAATCTTTATTCGTCGGCAAAATTTTCAACTAATTGGATATTGATTGGCAAGTTTACCAACAAATTACATTTCGTTTCTAATTTACCAACACATCTGTATTTGGTTGGTAAATTTAGCAAAACACAATTTTGCCGTTGGTAAATGTTTGGTTAGTAATTCATTGGTAATATGTTAATAAATTATATAAACAATTTTTTGTCATATTTACCAACTGATATATACTTCGTTGGTAATATTACCAACAAAAGGTGTGCGTTAGTAATATTTCAGTTGGTAATTCATTGATAGAATGTTGCTAAATTTGGCGCCATTTTTTCCCGCCGTATTTACCAACTAAAATACTTAGTAAGATTTTGGTTGATAATATGTTAGAATTTCGTTGTTAAGTTTTAAAATATAATTCAGTTAGAAATATGTTGGTAATTTGTTAGTAGAATACTAACCAACTTAAGTTGTTAGTAAAATCTATTTGGCAATTTGGGATTTTTTTGTAGTGAGTCCTACAAGTTAGCATATTTTAAATTACTTTTTTGCATAACTATCCAAAAATATACTATTAACACGATGATTTATTATCGAAATATATAATACCCATCACATGCATATTATTTTTTAAAGTTATTTTAATGTTGTTTGATTATCTACTATTAATCTTTGTTTTTAGTTTGTTTTGTCGGTCGATGTACCTAAGCCACTTGGTCATATTGATGTGATATATTTACAAATATTTTTTCGAAAAAATAAGTGAATTTTTGTTTTTTATATGTAAGCAAAAAGTATAATCTCAAAATCATTTGTATATAATTAGAATAACTAATACAACACGAGAGGTAGGGGTCAAGCAAGGTAGGGATGGAGATGAAATACAATGTGTTGAAGGATGAAAATGACATAATCAATGATATAAAGCTAGCGTTTGGCCATAGATTTCAAAATATTTTTGGCAAATATTATTTGGGTGAAATTTCACCATGTGTTTGACCATAGTATTTGGAAAATATATTTCACTTTTTTAGAAAAATATGATTTATACCCATAAGTTTTAAAAATTATCAAAACTAACCATAAGTTTGTATTACAAGTCAATTGAATCTTCGTTGCAACAATAACAAATAGTGTCCATGACACTAGATCAATGTGGTAGTTTGGAGTAAGTGCAACAAGCATCATTCCATACATCGTGAAGTAGACAAAGCACATGACTTTGTTACCCTGAGCCGATTGTTCATCATTTTCATTAACAACCATATCATCATTTAATATTCATTGAATATTTCATCACTACTTTGGTGTTCATGTGAAAAATTATGTAATGTGACACAAACAACTACTATAGAGGGTGTTTTTGTAAAAGATAAAAGTTTGGGGTAAAATTTCAATTTTCAAAAGATCCCAAATAATGAGATTTGGCCCAAATACTAGAAAAAACTAGTATTTGAGAATTTGAGATATTTACCAAAAATATTTGCCAAATAATGGCAAATTGTATAGACAAACACTATTTGCCAAATTTTTTCCCAAATATTATTTGAGAAATCTTTGGCCAACGGCCCAAAATATCACATGTAAAACTTATTTTCTTTACTTTTAGTCTTACACTTGAGAAGTCATTTTCCTCAATTTTTCGTATTTTTCGATACACAGTGTGAAAGCAAGACTGAATAATGTTGACAAGTGACATGTTGACATCTTATGCTGCATTATTGTTAGTTATTGTCACTTATGCTTTAATTTGTAGACTAGAAACCGCATGCACCTACGTAATATAAAAGATTGCCACGAACTTTATTTATAAAAAAAAAAACAAAATATAAAAGAGATTATCATGATTATGACATTTAATCGATTTGAAATTATGAATAAAGATTAATGGAGGGTTGTGTAGATATAGAAGCTACTAATTACTCTGTATTAGCTACAATATTTTATGATACTTGTTTTAAATATCCATAAATAATATACCTCGTTAAAATTTTACTTAAAAAAATGATGATGTAGTTTTTAAATTTTCAAGTGATTAATTTGGTAGCTTGAGCAGTAATGGAGGGTGGTTGGGGGTGGGGTCCGGGGGGGGGGGGCGTCTAAGAAGACCTAGTCAACTTAATTGATCAGTGAGTGATTGACATTTTGCCACTTGGAATTAGGGGTGTTCACGGTTGGGATAAATATCGATCCAAATCGAAAAACCAAACCAAATCGATAAGATAAAACTGATTTTATTTGGATTTGGTTTGGTTTGGTTTTAGATTTTTAAAAATCGGTAGTATTTGGTTTGGTTATGGTTTTATTCAAAAAAACTGAAGAAATAACCGAATCGAACCAATGAATTATATACATATATTTTGTTAATATACATACTTAATATATTGTTTTTATAAACAATTTTAAAGATCTTATATATGTTTTCATTAAAATTTCTTTATACTTTACTTATTGAAAGCAAGAATACCCAAGGTGAAAACATTTATCTTATTGATTTCACGTAATATGAGTGTCTGTGACAATTCTTTGTGGGACTGAAAATGTTGTTGTTTCTTCCTTCTAGGCCAATATAGTGAATTTTAAAGTTTTATTTATAGTAAATTCAGTGATCGAAAGTTCGGTAATTTAAGTCATTGTAACTATTTTTTTGTTTTGAATGGATTGTTGTCACTTTTTTCACATTTTGAATGAATTGTTTCTTTTATTTTTGTGTATGATTAATAACCGATAACTGAATAACCGAACCAAACCAAACCGAAACCGATAACCACCAAACCGGTAAATGTATATTATATTTGGTTTGGTTTAGTTTGGTTTTGATAATTTTAAAACCGATTAAGTTGATTTGGTTTTGATTTTTACCAATAACTGATCCAAACCAACCCGTGAACACCCTTACTTGGAATTATTAATAAGTCAACTAATAAGTCATTCACCTTTAATTTATCGAACAATAAATAGCAACTATAACATGGCATTTAATTAGTAGCTGTTATATACTCTTCCAAACTCTATCTATTATTTATTCACTTTGTCCTATTTTTCTTTTATTCAACTTTACATTAATAGTGTGTTTAGTAGGTAACAAAACATTTTATAATTTTTTTAATTTGAAAAATATTATTTCAACAATATTTATATATGGTTCGATAACACAAGGATGGAGGTGAAATGGTCTCGCCGTGAGCGTATGGGAGGGGCGTGGAAGTGGGCTTTTTGGGAGCCGGGGTCGATGTGAGTTGGCAAGGGGATGCAACGGCGGAGACAATCAAGATTTTATGTCATTTATAAAATTTGTTTTTCTTATTTTTACGAGAAAAGTCATGATTTAAGTTTCACATATAAGTCACATAAAAAATCTTTGCAGGTAATTTAGAAAATACTGAAAAGTAACAGAACATGATACATTTAATTAGGGATAAGGGTTTGAAAAATACCCCAATTTTGGTCGGATTTACTGTTGCGATACTAAACTTTCATGAGGACCTATTACCTCCCTAAACTATTTAATACCGTATTTTAAACATATATATTTGCCCACGTGGACATAAAAAATAATGCAAAATTATAAATAGTAACGTGTCCATGTGGGCATATATACACATTTAAAATACACTATTAAATAGTTCAGGGGGTAAAAAATACGATATTAAATAGTCTAGGAGGTAATAGGTCCTTGTGAAAGTTTAGTATCGCAACAGCAAATCCGACCAAAGTTGAGATATTTTTCAGACCCTTATCCCATTTAATTACCTTGGTAATTTTAAAAATCATTAGGTTATCGATATACATAACTTAAATGCTTTCTATCAAGATTTTCCAGGATAAGGTTTGTCCTACAAGTTGAGCAAATATTTTATTTTAATTATTGCATAATAATCCGACAATACATCAACATTTAATGTACAATTTCCCCACAAGAGCCGTCGTCTACTAATTTGTTGCCAAAAGGATTTTGGAGATCTTATTATTATAATGATGTGTACAAAATATTTAGAGAAATTTTAGAGATTAGTGGTTAACAAAAATTAATCTTAGAATAAAAGTTAGCTAATTTGGAATTTGCCAAGCCTAGATAGAAGGTCGAAGTGCGCTAATATCCGATTATCTCAATCGTACTACATAAAAACTTGCAAGTCTATTCATTTTAGAATAATTTCAAACATGCAGGTTTGAAGTTAGGGTAAATCAAACCAAAATTCAAACAAACTGTTTTAAGTTTTATACGGTTGACACTGAAGCACATATGATTGAAGTTCAGTTATTTTGAACTGAAGTTTAGTCATCTTATCTGAACTTTAACTATATATATCTAAATTTTAGCTTTTTCAATTTGAAGTTCAGATAATCTTGCCTAAAATTCATAAACATATGATTGAAGTTCAGCTATTTTGTTAAATTTTAGATTAAAATATCTGAACTTCAATCATATTTTATCTGAAGTTATTTCAAAGTGAATAAACACGACAACAATAAAAATGATATGATTATATAAATTATTTTTAAACTGACGATATATATAACTTAAACTTGGTTATATTAATGAGCCCAATAATTGTGAAGTCTTCACCTGCCAAAAGCACATCCCATAAATGCACCTCTCACACCTTCAAATAATGTCCTTCCCCTACCATTTGTAATGCATTTGAATCTTACTATATAGAGAGACCAACTATACATAAGCTTCACCATCCTATAATTTCAAGTATCATAGTTAAGTTTAGTGGGTAAAATGGGCTCTAAGACATTTATGTTCCTTGGCCTTTTTTTGGCCATTTATGTAATGATAAGCTCTGAGGTTGTAGCTAAAGAGTTTACTGAGACTTCAGAAGAGAAGTGTAAGAGTCCTCTCATTATTTGTTCCTTTTATGGTTGTGTTTGGTACAAAGGAAAATGTTTTCGCTGAAAAATAATTTATTAGAAAATATTTTCTTTGAAACATAAACGTACTTATTATAATATTATTTAAGGTACGTATATGTTTTACCCGTAAGGACGTATGTTTTTATAATCATAAAAATGTCATGACATATTCGAAATCACAAATTTTAAAAATAGGTTATTGTCATAACATTCTTGTTTACACAATTGATACAGCAAAGAAATCCAATAACAAGAATGTAGTACATGAAGACCAATTTGGTGGCGGATACCCCGGCGGTGGCGGTGGATACCCTGGCGGTGGCGGTGGATACCCCGGTGGTGGTGGTGGATACCCTGGTGGTGGCTACCCTGGTGGTGGCCGCGGTGGTGGTGGCTACCCTGGCGGCGGTCGTGGTAGAGGCGGATATCCTGGTGGCGGCCGCGGAGGATACCCTGGCGGCGGCCGCGGAGGATACCCTGGCGGCGGTCGCGGACATGGTGGATATCCCGGCGGCGGACGTGGTGGCGGTGGACGTGGTGGCGGTGGATACCCTGGCGGCGGACGTGGCGGCGGTGGTGTTGTAGAACACTGCCGCAATGGTTGTTGCAACGGCAATAACTATGAGTGCTATAGGTGCTGTTAATTATGGGGAGCAATAAATATTTGTACTGGCAAAGATGTAATACTAGTGATTAAAACTCTTGCTACTTTAATTTAATTTCTACAACTTTTTGTAAGAATTATGAAATAAAAAGTCATCATGTATGTAGCGTTTGTTAATTATGCTATGCTGTGAGACAATATTTTCCCTAATTTGGTGTTTCTTTCTCAATTATTTAATCAGATATTATGTCGTTCAATTTGAAGAGTGATAAGTCGAAATTATGGTATTAATCGAAAATTTATGAAAAAAGAGAAGTCAATTGAGACATTAATATGATATATAATTGCGACATTTTTTTGAAAATTGAAGTCATAAGCTTTTACTCTATATATCATACCAACTTACTATGACGAATGCTATCGAAATCAAACTTAAAATTATGATTACACCAAATTAGTTAATTTGATATGATAGTATAGTATTTTTGAAAATCGAGAATCAAAATTTTCAATATCATGAACACCTAGACTAAAGGAATTGGTAAATCCAATTTTGACTATAATCTATATATCCTTATAAATAAACCAAAGAACGACAAAATTAATGCCACCATATATTAAAGTAAGTAATCCCACATAACATTAATTCTCAGTAAGGCGTGGAAATCTTCATATTATTACCAACGGTATAATATAATAATAAACTGAATTATCAAGATGATCAGAATTCTTTAGACTCTGATCTTCAGACATAATACACAGAGACGAATAGAATTCTCCAGATTCTGATCTTCAGACGTAATACACAGATGACTTCTCCAGATTCTGATCTTCAGATGTAATACACAGATGACTTCTTTAAAGTTTTATCACCCGCTTTGATACCATGAAGATATTCACTATGAATTATAAGAACAATAGAATTGGAAAAGAAGAAAGTATTTGTTATTTTTCCTTTTTAAGCAGTAGATATACAATGACTAAATCCTATGTATTTATATTTTCCTTACTAACTAACTTACCTAACTTTTTGGTAACTACCTTCTAACTAACTTCTTGAAGTAGTCCTAACTAACTCTAAACACTCTCCTTCTTTTTTAACTATCTCATTACAAACACTCTGAGGTTGGAAGAGGGGTGGATGAAGGCGAGGGGGATGGAGGGAGGGGGGGGGGTGTTGAGAGCCGGTCGGAGCCTGGGTTTCGAGAGGAGGTGTGGTGCATGGTAGGATAGGGACGTAGAGACGAGGATGAACTAAAGAGAGACAATCAACTTAGAATAACACTAATATAAAATTTATTTTTTCTACTTTTCCATCATGTATACCATTTTTAGAGAATATAAGTCACTTACTTTTTTTTGATAAAATATTTTTAGAAAACACATGACTATGTCTATTGCAATGCAATATATTATATTCATTTTTGTATGATATAATATACCATTTCCCCACAAGAGCGGTCGACTACTTTGCTAACAAAAAGATTTTGGTGATCTTATAATGTGTCCAAAATGGATAATGAACCCACATAAATACGTACAGTTGAGTAATAATGTTTTGAATTTTTGAAGGTTTGATTTAGGGCCGGCTCTATGCTTTGGCAAATAAGGCTTTTGCCTTTTGGGGGCCCTAAATTTTATCAAGAATAAATTATGTGTTAAAATTTCTATAGAACTAATTGATTATTTATGATAAAAAGTATAATTTTTTTAAAATATATTATTTTACCCACTTTAACATCTTTTATACTTTGTTAAAAATAAGAATTAATAGTGAAAAGTGTTGAACAAAGTGAATTACAATTTTTTTTTAATTTCTTTTTTAATTTTAGTTTCAGGCATTACTACAACCATATTAAAATGGGTATACCAAGTCATCAACTTCTTGCATCAAATTCTATGGTTCTAACTCTTATCTTTATTTAATATTTGTCAACTTATTACTTATATAATTATGTTAACAATTCATATAATAATTGCCTCACTGAAAGGATGTTTTTCAATGTTGAGTTGATAAAATCTTACCTAAAACTAATTACTGAAAAAATAATATTAAAATACTAATAATTTTCATCTAAATAATGTAAGAAAAATAAATTTTGAATAAATACGTACATGAAGTTTGCTTATATTTTAGGCCTAGAATCAAAATTTCGCTTTAGTCCCCCAATCACGTTGAGCCGCCCTTGATTTGATTGGATTTAATCATTGAAAATTATTGAGATTGATATTAGTAAGTTGAATGTCAAATTCAATTCCTTGTTCATCTATCAGAAACTTTCGGATAATATATTCTAAAATTAAAATACAATTTTTATGCTAAAATCACGATAATCTGTCCGATAGATGTCTTTATCTATCGATCCAAATTTAAAGATATCAAATTAGACTTTTATGGAGATAAATATGTATCAGTTTTAATTTGTTACATGTAAGTTTAACTTAAATATAATGCAACAAATTATATATACTACTTGTCATGTGTATACTACATCCAATAATACTCTCTCTTCAATCATTATATCCATTCAAATCTTTCTATAAATAGAACCCAACAATCTCTCAATTTCTTCATCCTTTAATTAATTCAAGTATCATAAGGGAAACAAAAAAATGGGTTCCAAGGCATTTCTGATTCTTGGCCTTTTTTTGGTCATATTTGTAATGATAAGTTCTGAGGTTTTAGCTAGGGAGTTGGCTGAGACTTCCACCACTACTTCTGAAGAGGATTGTAAGTATATCCATTCAGTATAATATGCTCATTTTATAAGGAAATTTCACATATATTTTTATAATTTATCTCGAAAATATTGAGTTCAGATGAACATTCCTTACTTGTGCTCTAGATGCTAGCTTGACCAATCATTCTTACTAATTGTTCAATTTTATATAATTAGTTTTACATTTTGCATGTATATTACGATAATAATAATAGCATATTCAGTATAATTTCACAAAGGATATGGAGGAGGTGGTATGTACACAACTATACTCTTATCATGTGAAGATAGAGAAGTTATTTAATTCGATCAATTCTCAACTCAAGTAAAACATAAAGTAGCCCATGCTGAACCTAATGAAATTTTGCATACATATTATATAGTATACTTTAACCTTCTGAACTTTGACGAGAAATCTCCATATAAGTTATGGATTACAGAATTTTCTAATGCAGAGTTGGTATTAAACAAAAATATTTCCTCCGTTTTAATTTATTTGTTTGGTTTTGACGTATGCAGATTTTTAAAAAAAGTAAATAGAATTTTTGAATCTTATGATTTAGAATTTTTGAATCTTCTGATATTAAACATACCAATAAGGAGTTGCCAAAGAAGAAAAGTGTCATTTTTTTAGGCCTAAAAAAAGTAAGACAAATAAATCGGAAATAATATTTTTTGAAAAAAAAAAAACAAGTTAAGAGTAACATTCTTGTTTACTTAATTGATGCAGCCAAGAAATCCAGTAACAAAAATGAAGTACATGAAGCCGAATATGGCGGGTACCCTGGTGGTGGCGATGGATACCCTGGCGGCGGCCGTAGTGGTGGTGGTGGAGGATACCCTGGCGGTGGCCATGGTGGTGGTGGTGGTGGTGGCCGGAAGTGTTGCTCCTAGATACAAAGGTGAATGAATAGTAATATATACTTATCACCTTGTACTAATTAGTGGCAAGATGTAGTAGTAATATTCTTGCTGCTTTAAATTTGGAGCTTATTGTAAGAATTATTATCATGAAATAAAAGCCATCATGTAATGTTTGTTAATTATGATATGGTATGATAATACTTTCCTTTGGTGTTTTACTTATGGGCGGAATTCTCATTTCATATTATTATAATTTGTTTCGACTAACCGTTCACTATTATTATCAATATCAAGTATCAATATACACCAATAGCTAGTGTAAATTTGCTTATATTTTTCTCTTCGATTTCCGTGGAACTCATCACACATTTATTATGAAACATACTTATAATGTCCAAAAACTATGTAAATTTAGATTAGGCAAAATTGAGGGCATTTATTATTCTACGATTTTCTGAAATGTTTTGAATTATTGATTATTGTAGCTCTTTTTTGAAAAACTAATTATAGTAGTATGACTTATAATACTTGGTATTTGGGTCAAAATATGTGATTTAAAAAAAAAAAAAATAGGAAAAATCAATATATGTCTGAATTCACAAAAAAAAATCGAAAATGATAATCGAATTATAAAATGAAATAGGCTTCATTGTTGGATTTTATTATAAGAAGCATCACTGTGAAACAATCTAGCTACAAACTCTCATTCCTTGATAAAATAATTAATTCTCAAACATTACTAGAAATTTGCACACCATTTTTTTAAACCATATTTTGCTCCATATATACCTCTTATTTTGATAGGATCAACAAACAATGAGATGAGTCTGTCCATAAATCCACAATTAGTACTTATAAAATCATTCTTTTCGAAAGAAAGTGTCAAGCGTGTTGGATTTATAGCTTGTTCTACAGCAAACATTGGTACTTGAGAAGGATAGAGCAATTCCGTGTTTATATCTTTCCATGCATTACTCATTATCTTCTGAACCTTGATATATGTCTCTTGCTTTGAAACTCCACGTTCTTTCATATAACATTCAAAGAATGATGGTATATGTGTTCTTTGTTGTTCAAACTGCATCAAATAGATTTTAATATGCTCAATACAATAATATATTTAATTTTTATCAAATTCATTTATTATCTTACATGATGTCCAATAATGTCGTCCTTTAATCGACTTAATACTGATGAAGCTTGAAGAATCGAAGAATCACTTGTTACCCATTCCAAAGTTTCTTTGGTTATAATAAATTCCTCCAAACATACCAAGGAAATTGTTGCAATCAATTTGATGACAATGCTTGTAATTGCATTTTCCATATACTCCTCACATTTTGGAAAATAGCAAGCATTCAACCATTGTGCTTCCTTGAAATATGATTTGATCCATTTTTTCATCTACAAAGAAATAATATAAAAAGTAAAATTAGATAATAAGCATACTTTATCTAGTTTTGGATTGTGATTTCACTAATTATCACATGACTTTTGTTTTATCGTGTACCAAATTCACTAAATTATTTTTCCATGGTAATTATATTTTCTTCATACGTTCTCACCGACAAGTAAAAGTGAATGTATTTTTGAAACACTGGACAAATAAAAATGAATAGAGTGAGAGTAATTATTTTACATAGATTAATTAATGAGGATGAGTTATTAAGCAAGCTTAATTACCTCAACTTTTGCATAGTAGGCCCGGTCTGCTTTACCTTCTTTTTTCAATTCATCTTCTATTTCATTTATAATTTGTTATTTCATAATATTTTTCCTAATAATATACCACAGAATTTAACATGGGCCGGGTTCAAACTCTTATAATAATGTTTTTTTAATGCGTCATAATTCAATATCAACATTAATTTAGGAGATTTATGAAATTATTTTATCGCGGAATTGAATCCACTATGACCATAGTTCGTATTATCGATCATAGAAATTATTATCACAAAACAGATTAATCCTTTGATTTCTCCATACACTCATATTATGTGTGTATTTATTTTTATATATATACCATAAACATAAATAAGAGGACGCTAGTTAATATATGCTAACGAGCTAATTAACAGTAGTACTCTTATGAATAAATCCGACTCAATAATAATTTTCGAGTTTGGTGGTTGGTTGATTGGTGAGTATAATTAATTAATACATTTTTTTGTGATAAGCAGAACTAACAAACAAGACGTTTTGTCAACACCAGGGCCGTCTCAACCCCTAGGCCACTAAAGCCACCGCTTGGGGTCCCATATTTTTAGGTGCCCCATTTTTAATTTTTTTTTTTTACCTATAAATATTATTTTAAAAAAATTATATGTACTGTGAATGCTATGATTTCTACCAAGGAAATTGCATCTGAATGAATATAGAACCTGAATTTTGTAAGAAACAGTTTGATGAAAATATTGGTAACGAAATCACAAAGTCCCTTGAAATTAGAGTTGATTACTATATATATATATATAGTAGATCAAGCTATTTTTTCACTTCAAAATAGAATTGAACCAATTGAAGCATATGAGAATATTTTTGGTTTCTTATTTAGTGGTAAATTGGTAAATTGTGATCACTAGATGAAGAGATTTTTTTAAAAAAAAAACATTGATTTAACCTTAAACTTTCTTTAACACATACTAATTATGTTAAATATATGTTATTTTGATATTGATGGTTTAAATTTATTTTTTGAATTAAAAGTGTTAAGAGAAATAATATATGTGGAATATAATGATGTAATGAAAATCCTCAATGAAATAAAAAGACTTGATTCTTTTCTAAATATACATATTGCTTATAGAATAATATTAACCGTTCTTGTAACCGTTGTCTCGGCCCAAAGAATATTTGTGAAACTAAAATTGATTAAATCTTATTTAAGATCAACAATGTCTCAAGAGAAATTGAATGAATTAGCTATATTATCAATTAAAAAGGAATTATTAAAACAAATCTATTATAAAATGGTAGCCAATGGCTTCGTATCTAAAAAAGATAGAAATTAAAAGTAGATTTTAAATAAAAGTATATAAGATGAAAGATATAAAATATTAGGGTCCCTCTCTTAAGTTTCGCTTGAGGCCCCCAATCTTATTGAGTCGGCACTGGTCAACACAATTGGTAAGTGACTGTTTGACATTTTCCACAAGCATTTATTCGTCGGCATTAGTAAAACTGTATGTATGTGGCTATTAGAGCCTGTTATCTTTTCCTATATATATATATACATAATTTTATATTAAAAATATGTTTGGTACGATAAAAAAAATATTGTTTCAAGAATATTTGTAATATAATCAGGCAAACACTCAGAGGTTGGAAAAGGGGTGGATGAAGGCGAGGGGGATGGGGGTGGGGGGATTGTTGAGAGCTGGTCGGAGCATGGGTTTCGAGAGGAGGTGTGGTGCATGGTAGGATAGGGACGTAGTGACGAGGGTGAACTAGATAGAGACAATCAACTTAGAATAACACTAATGTAAAATTTATTTTTTCCATCATTATACCATTTTTAGAGAATATAAGTCACTTACTTTTTTTTAATAAAATATTTTTAGAAAATTTTGACAATGAAGAAACACAAAAGAGTCACATGACTATGTTTATTTCAATGCAATATATTATATTTATTTGTATGATATAAATCCAATAACACATCAACATTTAATATACCATTTCCCCACAAGAGCCGTCGACTACTTTGCTAACAAAAAGATTTTGGTGATCTTATAATGTGTCCAAAATGGATAATGAACCCATATAAATACGTACGGTTGAGAAATATAATGTTTTGTAGTTTTGAAGGTCTGATTGGATTTAATCATTGAAAATTATTGAGATTGATATTAGTAGGTTGAACGTCAAATTTAATTCCTTGTTCATCTATCAGAAACTTTCGGATAATATATTCTAAAAACTAAAATCACAATAATCTGTTGATAGATTTGTAGCGAGACAAGACTTTATCTAGAGCTGTCAATATGGGCTAGCCCATTCTATCCGGGTTGACCCATACAAACTTTGACATTTTACGGGTTAGGCTGGGCTAGCCCCTTTTTGGTGTGGGCCAAAAAACGATCAGCTCAGCCCACAAGTACGTGGGCTACATGCTTGCCGTGCCAACCCACTTTTTTTAAAGTTATATTTTTTTTATAATTATTAAAATAAATTATAAATTATAATTTTAAAATATTATCATAAATATCGACAAAACAATATTACACGGTGTTAATGTTACTGCTTGTTAATCAAATCCACAAATAAAATTATCTTTATAATATTTATTAAGGTTTTTCAAATAAAAGTATAAATATCTAAATAGAAATATTAACATAATTGTTTTGTCACATTAAAACACAAAAAATGTGACAATATTCCAACCATAAAAAAGTTAAAAATAAATTCCTTAAAAAAAATCATGAAACTTATGGCGTATCTAACACATAATGAAATCTATGGCGTATCCAACACTTCATGATCATCTTCATCGAGCATATTTGAATCAGCTTGTGGCAAGGTTGTCTTAACATCTTTATTTTCATCTGCAATTTATATGCGGTTTCAATTAGTTAAATATTAAATAGATTTTGAGTTTGGACTCTCTTTAATTTTAAATTTTAATATTATATTATATTTTTAAAATTATTTTTATTTGGCCCACGGACCGGCCCTACCTATATTTCTCAAGCCCCACAAATCAGCAGGCTTATTCATGTCGGGCTAAAAAGCCCTTTTTTTAAATGGGCTCCAAAAATCTTAGCCCATCCCTATTAAATCCCGGGTTAGGCCAGGCCGGCCCAATGGGCCTAGCCCATATTGACGGCTGTATGACTTTATCTATTGATCCAAATTTAAAGATATCAAATTAGACTTTTATGTAGATAAATATATATCAGTTTGTTACATGTAAGTTTAACTTAAATATAATGCAACAAATTATATATAGTACTTGTCATGTGTATGAACTCAAATGTGAAATCTTCACTAAATTTCTTCAGCTGCCGACTGAATATTGGTCCACACATTAATTCCATAAATGCATGTTCCCACTCTAGGGGCGGATCTAGAGTATCGAGCGTGAATTTTCAGAAACGTAATAATTTTTACATAAATCTTATATTTATATTAAAAAATTTATTAATTATATATAAAATATTTGTTGAAAATTTAATAACAAAATAAGTTCTTAGTTCAATGGTAGAAACGAAACCTACTTAAGTTTTCAGTGAGGGTTTAATACTTTAATTCCTCTTGGGTACTTATATTAAAGTCCTCTTTTAAAATAAAAAAATAAAAAATTGAGATCCTTAAAAGCTCATAAACTTTAAATTCTGAATTTGCTTCTGTTTACGTCCAAATAATACTCTCTCTTCAATCATTTTATCCATTCAAATCTTTCTATAAATAGAACCCAACAATCTCTCAATTTCTTCATCCTTTAATTAATTCAAATATCATAAGGGAAACAAAAAAATGGGTTCCAAGGCATTTCTGGTTCTTGGCCTTTTTTTGGTCATATTTGTAATGATAAGTTCTGAGGTTTTAGCTAGGGAGTTGGCTGAGACTTCCACCACTACTTCTGAAGAGGATTGTAAGTATATCCATTCAGTATAATATATTTTTATAATTTATTTCGAAAATATTGAGTTCAGATGAATATTTCTACTTGTGCTCTAGATGCTAGCTTGACCAATTATTCTTACTAATTGTTCAATTTTATATAATTAGTTTTACATTTTGCATGTATATTACAATAACAATAATAACATATTTAACAATAATAACATATTCAGTGCAATTTCATAAAGGATATGTGAAGGTGGTATGTACACAACTATACTCTTATCATGTGAAGATAGAAAAGTTGTTTAATTCGATCCATTCTCGACTCAAGTAAAACATACTCTTATCATGAGAAGGTGGTATGTACACAACTATACTCTTATCATGTGAAGATAGAAAAATTGTTTAATTCGATCCATTCTCGAAGTAGCTCATGCTGAACCTGATGAAATTTTGCATATATATTACTATATAGTATATTTTAACCTTTTGAACTTTGACGAGAAATCTCCATATAAGTTATGGATTACAGAATTTTATAATGCAGAGTTGGTATTAAACAAAAATGTTCCCTCCGTTTTAATTTATTTGTTTGGTTTTGACTTATATAAATTTAAAAAAAAGTAAGGAGAATTTATGAATCTTCTGGTATTAAACATACCACGTGAAAAAGCTAAAATAAGGAGTTGCCAAAGAAGGAAAGTGTCTTTTTTTTTTCGACTAAAAAGAAAAGTAAGATAAAATCGAAAATAATTTTTTTTGAAAAAAAAAAGAAGAAAAAGTTAAGAATAACATTCTTGTTTACGTAATTGATGCAGCCAAGAAATCAAGTAACAAAAATGAAGTACATGAAGCCGAATATGGCGGGTACCCCGGTGGTGGCGGTGGATACCCTGGAGGTGGCCGTGGTGGTGGATACCCTGGCGGCAGCCGTGGTGGTGGTGGCGGTGGATACCCTGGCGGTGGCCGAAGTGGTGGCGGATACCATGGCGGTGGCCATGGTGGTGGATACCCAGGTGGTGGCGGCCGTGGTGGTGGTGGATACCCTGGCGGTGGTGGTGGCGGTGGCGGAGGCCATGGTGGTGGTAGATACTCAGGCGGTGGTGGACGTGGTGGTGGCGGCGGCCACGGTGGACGTGGTGGTGGCGGCCGGAAGTGTTGCTCCTAGATACAAAGGTGAATAGTAATAATATATATAATCACCTTGTACTAATTAGTGGCAAGATGTAGTAGTAATATTCTTGCTGCTATTTGGAGCTTATTGTAAGAATTATTATCATGAAATAAAAGCCATCATGTAATGTTTATTAATTATGCTATATGGTATGATAATATTTCCCTTTGGTGTTTTACTTATGAGTGGAATTCTCATTTTTCATATAATTATTAATATTTATAACTTCATATTACTTGCTTCAACTATTATTATAAGTATCTGATACATACACTAATAATGTAAATTGTTTGCTTGTATTTTTCTATTTATTATTTTTTTAATATCAGTACTAATTAATATGAAATATACATATAATACACACGTTAAAAATTATGTAGATTTACATCGTCAATCCATCCTTAAATTTTATTTTTTGTTTGACCATATATATTACTCCCATCGAGTGTCGAGGTGTGCTCAAATTTTAGATTAGGCAAAGTTGAGGGCGTTTATAATTTCAAAAATAGTGTAGTGACTTTTTCATTTATAAAGAAATAATTCATTGATTTTGGTTCAATAAAATAAAATTTGAGTAATTATCCGTGAAATTATCCTAATTTTCCATCCTTGTAAAGTGTGTAATTGATCGATACACCTCACTCATTTTCCATTTTATATGTAACTAGTGAATTTGGCCGCGCTGTGCGCAGTTTTGAAATATTTTATATAAATTTTATTCAAATATTTTCAATAGAATTTACACGCAAATCGATCTTTCAATTCAATTATTTTTTTAAAAGATCTTTAATTTATATATTCTTCTATGATTTGTTATCACTTAAAAGTTTTTAATCTTCTCTAAATACTTGTGTAGTGTACTTATAAGTGAAGAAAAAAATAATTATTTTTCTTAATAGGAAGTAAAGAAAGAAAAGAATTTCAAGAAATTTTGTATATGTTTTGAGCATATATATATAATCTTTTTGAAACCTATTTTCTTAAAGAAAAAGAACTATAAATACATATACAAATATATTTATATATATATAAAAAAAGAACCACACAGTGCATTGTCCATATCGATTTTTCGAACATTGAGACTAAATGAATCATAAGAAATTTGGAGAAAAACATCATTATACTATTTTTTAAATAAACCAAAAAATATTATAAATTATTTTACTAAAATTTTAAAAGTATTTAATTTGACAATCTTTATATGTATTTGGAGCTTGTGTTCTTTAGGGTGGTTGCCTCTTCATCCTCTCTCTCTCTCTTTTTAATTGATTTATCATATATATGCTCATGTTCCAATGTAGTATTTATTGTTACTCATGTTTGATTGATCATTGTTAGGTGCAATAAAAAAAAGTTGCAAAATATGTATGAATTTCAACTTCACCTCAATGATTATTTGTAATAAAAAAGTTAAGTTTTGCCTCTATTTTTAAATAAACATAAAAATAGCTTCCAAAATTACAGTGTCAATTAAGAAGTAGAAAAATGTTTATGAATTTGTAGAGTATATACATTCTCCATTTAATTTTGTTTCTTATATTTTGTTTTTCGAGAGTCCAATTATATGAGCTTTCACCTATATTTAATATGTATTTTTTTATTATATTAATATGAGAAACATTGAATCTTATAGTATTTTTCATACAAATTTCAAAATATTTTAATTTTAATTTTAAAATAGTGAATTAATCTAATTCAATTCAGCGTAAAAAATAATTAAATTAACCATAAAAAAGTAAAATATGATAAGTAAAGTGAACGGAAGTAGTAATTACTTTAGAATTCAACATTGAGGTAGATATTATAGGTCGAATATATGAGACTCCTTGATGTAGATGATATAACACAAAATATCAAAATTTATCAAATGTTGAGTAAGAAATATTAATAAAGAGATTCTAAAGTAGTTCTCAACCAAAAAATACATCAATTATTTAGTAATTACAACAATATATGAGATTCCTTGATGTAGATGAATAACACAATATATCAAGATTTATCAAATGTTGAGTAAGAATTAATAAAGAGATTCTAAAGTAGTTCTCAACCAAAACAATACATACCTTAATTTGACCGTAAAAATGAATCCATTTAAATATCCTAAAAAAATATAACACATACAAATAAATTTTATCAAAATAGAATATCTAATAACACGTAAATTTCTCAAGAGAAATTATGAAGATGCAAATTAAAAATAAAATACTGTAAATCTGCGAAGTAAAAAAATCGATATTATTCCTTTGAGTTCTCTATTTGATAACACATAATCCTACCTCAATTTAGTATAAAATAATATTAAAAAAATATAAAGAATATATTTAAACAACTTACCATACATGTCACACAATTTTTGACTTTTTATATGTGTAAAATTAGACCTTTTAGCCTTTAGGTATAAACCCAACAACCTGCAAAAGTGAAGCTTCACAATCACAAATAAATTGACAATATAAAGATAAATAAGGAATATGAAAGAACATAAAGAAACACAGACATTGAATGTATTAATTGCTCAATTTAATTAGATTACAATTATTGTTCAATGTTCACCCATGAATGGAAAAAAGAGCAAAACGGATGTAAAAGGTAAAATGTATTAATTATTTGGTTTAATTAGAAATAAAAAGATTCATTAAATTAATGATAATGGCTTTTGAGCTTTCTAAATTAATGTAATTAAGATATAATTTGTAGGTTTTTAAATAAATTGTATAAATGTAAAAAATTAAGAAAAATGTCAAAAAAAAAATGAGAAAAAAAATATATGTCATTCTTGGCTTTAGAAGCATGCCACATCACCTCTCCTACATCTAGCTTTATTATATATATAGATTATTATATTATTTAGAAAGTTAAAAGGTGTTTATTCTGATCATGATTTTCAAATGTTTTTGAATTATTGATTATTGTAGCTCTTTTTAATAATAATAATAATAATCTGGCTTACAACACTTGGTAATAATTGGTCAAAGTATGTGATTTTAATTTTTTTTTGGAAAAATCAGTATATGTCTGAATTTACCAAATTGAGGTATTTAAACGTACATTCTCAAATTGAAGTGTATATTTGTTATCTAACTAAGGCCAAACTTAAATGTTTGTTTCAATATTACTTAGAACACCTTATGAGTCCAAATCTTTATCAAAACCAAACTCTCTTTGTTCCCAAAAATCGTATGCTAACGTAATTAAAATTATTGAAATCATAAAAGAATTAAAACAAACAGCATTAACATTATTCACCCATATATAATTAAATAGAGGTATATCCAATTATTTTTATATATGTACTCGATACCGAACCATTGTTTACTTAACATTTATCCTCGAACATAACATTGACAGGTTCAATAAACAACAAGGTAATCATATCCTTAAATTCACTTCGGATATTTATAAAATCACCCTCTTTGAAAATATATGCCAAGCGTGCAAAATTTATAACTTGTTCGAGGACAAATGTTGGTACTTCAGAAGGGTTGAGGAATTCCTCGTTCATGTCTTTCCATGCATTAGTGAGTTTCTTTTGAGCCTCAACATATGCCTCTTGCTTTGAAACTCCGTGTTCTTTCATGTAGCATTCAATGAATGAAGCTTCTTTGTTGTTAGAACTGCATGCATAAAAATAGATTTCAATATGTTGGAGTTGGATTACGGGTCATCCATGTGGGTTAACTCGATCCTATTCAAAAAATATAAATAAAAAGGAACAGAAAAGAAGCATATCTATTTATAGAGGTCCACCTAATTGTATATTATAAATTTCAGTAATTTTATCGAAACACATATCTATTTATTTAAAATTATTATTCAACACTTATATCATTTGTATTAATATCGTCCTTTAATCTGCCGATTACTGTTAAAGCTCGAAGAATCAAACGCTCATTTATTACCCATTCAAATGTCTCTTTGGTAATATTTTCCTCCATAACACACAAGAAAGTTGTTGCAGCCATCATAACAGTAGTACTTACAATTGCAACTTTCATGTACTCCTCGCATTTTGGAATATAGACATCATTTAACCATAGTGCTTCCTTGAGATATGCTCTAGCTACTTTCTTCATCTTGATGATTTATGAAGTTTTGATGATAGACACATCTTGATATGCAAACCGATTTTAAAAGGGTTTCAAAAAGAAGAGTCAAAAAGGAATTAAAGCAAGAAAGCAGAGCAAAAGAAGGAAACAATTGAAGCAAGAAAGCAAAGCTAAAGAAGGAAACAAATAAAAGAGGAAGTTGTGTGCTAACAGGATTTGTAATAAAAGGTCAAAAATAAATCCTTTCCTTTTCGTACACAACTTTATGTCGTTTCCTTGTATACATTGGACACCAATCTTTCAACTCTATAAAAGGATGTCAAAAACAGACAAGACAGATTGTCTTTTGCAGCATCAAGAAACGAGAGGAAGAAAGAGTAAGAAAATACGCAAAAGCCTACTATATTGAGAGTTCTTAGGAATAGAATTCAAGAAGTTCTATATGTTGACACCTAATTTTGACCCTCCCCGGTAATAATTAATTTCGAGCTTCTTAATTTTCAAACGATTTAAAGTAATCAATTTTAGAAATTTTGAAAAAAATTAAATAAAAATATAAAAATATAAAAATAAATATATATATATATATATAATAATATAGTTTGCAACTTATTTTAAGATAGTGTTCTCACTTTTTATAATCTTTAGATAATATATATGTTTTACATAAATATACATAATTAGTATATTGTATGATTATTAAAAAATATCCTCAAAAAGATTTTGTTTTAGTTAAATATTTGGTTCATTAGTTTAAGTTGTGTAATAGCTTATATTTTAAATTATTTAGTTTATATTTGAGTTAATTATTTTATTTCATTGAGATTAAGAAACTTGTTAATTAATTAATATTAATTCATCCTATTTAGAATTTAGCCGAATTCATGAATATTCATCCGATTTTGGCTAAATTCTTAATTAGCTTGGCCGAATTCGCAACCCGTAAAGCCATTTCCTAATTCCAATCTAACTTACCTTCTTGGACCCTTTTTGGACCAATTTTGGGCCTTTTCTCTTACTTATCCAGCAGACCCAATCTTAATTCCCAGCCCAATTATTTTCTGCTAAAAAGAAACCCATTCCCAACCCAAACCCAATTCCTCTAACAAGACCAACAATGCTATACTAAAAA